TGTGTGTGTGTGTGTGTGTGTGTGTGTGTGTGCGAGTGAATGTGTGTGTGGTGTCAAACCTGCCCTTTGCGCACCGCCTTGCCTGACAGCCAAGAACGTGGCAGTGCGGCCAAGAAAGTGGAAGCATGACGCGCCTCACTCCACCACCAGGGCCGCATTCAACTACTCATCAAGAGCAAAAAAGGCAGACAGCACAGCGTTGTATCTTTCCATATTCTAGCGGAAGATTCATCCTCATTTTGCACATTTGCTGAGGAGTGGAGAGGCCCCAAGTAGGGAAAAGGAGTGAATATTCAGCCAGAACATGGAAAGGTACAACGAGACATTTTTTCCCTGTTTCTTTCAGTGCTCCGAGGCCCTCCGCCACGGTCCAGAAATGAGCCTACACACCCTGGACCCGACCTACTTGTGCTGGTAAAGTTGCTCTAGTCGACTCAAATAAAACGCATACGTGAATTAAACGAATACAACACACAGTATGCGTTGTACTTGTTTACAACGCATATGCCTTATGTTTGGGGGAAGACGGTCGCACTCCCTGAATAATGCATTGATTCAGAACCCTTCGTCCAGACTGAGGATTATGACGGAAGTTTGACTTACCTCTGGAGAACGTTCTGCCTGCTGCCTGGGATGTACTTCTGGCATGAACCTCCTCCTCCCTGAGCACCACTCCTCCTGAGCATGATCTTGTGCATTCATATTCAGATAACACCCACATGCGGCAATTGGCTGACGAGTCCATATGTAGCTCCCTTGATTTTCCATTGCCTGTTTTGATTAAGCTTCCACTCACCATGTGATTTCGGCATTGTGGATCTACACCAAACTTCATACTTCGCATTCATACTCAGACCTCTCAGGACGAATATATCTATAGAAATTTCTCCAATAGCTCTCCTCATGGCTGTTCTAACGTAAAACACTGAATCAAACGGTACCTGGAGCTCTATTACCCCAAATCTAGGAAGATTGTCGCACCCGGCTGGGCCAGGCCCGGGGGGGCACCCATGTGTGACGCCGTGGGGGTCTGACTCCCCATGTACCCGGGCATGGGGGAAAAAAAGAACACTCTTTCCTTTCGGCAGTGGGGGTTTCCGCACTCTCCAAGAGGAGCCCAAATCCGGGCTCTGTTCTTTTTTTGAATGTCGGCTATCAAGGGGGGGAAGGGGCTAAAGGGGTCTACGAAGGGTACCTTAGTGTCATTCTGTTACTTTTTTATCTTCGATTCCGTGAAAAATTCTGACATGACCCTAAGCTGAAACTCATTTGCATATCGCAATTCTGCAAAACATTTTTTTTTTCCATGGAATTTTTCAATTTTTTTAACTTCGCGCTGGGGCTGCCGTGAACCCTGCCCGGGAGTCACCCGGGCATGTAAACGGGCACAAGTTGGATGCCCAAACCCAGCAAGACAAGCTAGCCCCGAATGAGTTTTACAACTCCCACATCTCAATTGGTGCCTAGGGGGTCTGCCTGCAAACGAAACCTAAGGCTACCAGTCTAAAGGGTCCTACTGCAATGCGAAGGTAATGGGTGCAACTCCCGGATTGTCGCATACCAATATGGTGCAGACCAGAACCAAGAACCGACCTCTCTCAGATAGAGCAAGATAGCACAGCGGAAGACTGAAATACCAATAATCAGACCAATCAATGTCGCAATGCAGACAGAACATACATCATCATTATCCCAAGAAGTGAAGGGCCTGGCGCCACACACACGAAGACTGAGCCAGGCTCAGATCATACAGGGATGAGGTGGAGGGGAATCAGACGAAGAGGACGGAGGAGATGAGAATGTCGTCAACACAATGTCGTCGATATCAATCCCAAATGGTCCCCCGAAATCTCTCTGCCACAATGTCGAGTCTGAATCTAAACTGTCGCCAATCTCTCTCTCTCTCTCTCTCTCTCTCTCTCTCTCTCTCTCTCTCTCTCTCTCTCTCTCTCTCTCTCTCTCTCTCTCTCTCTCTCCCTGTACCGATACTGACCTGCTGAAGGTGGCACCTTGATGCAGGTACGGACGCGCTGAGGACAAAGCTTGAGCTATGGCATCTCAGGTGAGTCTCAGGTAAGTCCTCCGGCCTCCGCCAATCTCCTCTCCCTAGTGCTACCCTGGAATCCTAGCAGCGCCCTGCGCTGGAAGACTACTGCTACCGTCGACTACCGTGGCCGCAGCATCTCCTGAAGAGTGCCGCTACTAATGCCTGGAGACTGAATGCCAGCCTCCTAGGCGGACCAGCTATATATAGCGCTGGTCCGGCTGGGAGGCTGCCCTCACCAATGCTGAACGGCGCCAGTATCTGGCGCCCAAACGGTCTGGCACCTAGAGTTGGCGCCCAAATTCGAAATAGTCGAATTTGAAAAACGCCTACCGTGGCCTGGGCGCCTACTGGGCCTCTACCGGAGTCTGGCGCCAAAACGGGCGCCAGGGCCTACCTACTGGGCCTACCGAACTCCCTAGGCCAAACGGCATGGGGCCTGAAAAGGGCCCCTTCCTACTCTGAACCGTCACAGGGCCCGAAAGGCCCCTACCGAACCCCTATCCTACCTGGTCGGGCCCTGCAGGGGCCCGTGTGGTACTCAGTATGCCAAACGGATTGAGGAGACACAATCTTCAGAGCCGCTGTTATGATCAACTCAGTTTACAATTCAAGACTTGACTGTGAACTGATGCAAGATTTTGCAACTCGAGAAGAAGCGGAAATAGACTACAGTCTTCACCTGAATCGAACACCCAGTCACTAACGCTGGGCCTGGACGAAATATTCTTCCAAACAGAACTGTAATGGTGAAGACCATAGGACAAAAAGGATGGGGGACTGTTCTCTATCCCCGGTTGGTAGATCGTGTCATGCGCATCAAAAAAGACTGTTCTTTCTCTCTCCCTCCCTCCCTCCCTCCCTCCCTCCCCCACTCTCTCTC